ACAGTTCATTCGCGACCTCGGACACAACAACTGACAAAACGGCGTGCTGTGCCAACGAAACTCAAAAATCTGTTATTTTTATGATCGAGAGAAGTTGTCACAGTTGCAACTGTGGAGCATCTCGATTTCGTGATACGTTTGCCTACTTTGCAAACAAGGCAGTATGACGACAACAACCCCAGTTGTCGCAGTTGCAACTGTGGAGCATCTCGATTTCGTGATACGTCTGCCTACTCTGCAAACAAGGCAGTGCGACGACATCAAACCCAGTTGTCACAGTTGCAACTGTGGAGCAATTTGATTTCGTAATACGTCTGCCTACTCTGCAAACAAGGCAGTAGGAGCTCTACGTCCACAAAAGGTGAACAACAATTATTCAACTTGACAGTTCATTCCCGACCTCGAACACAACAACTGACAAAATGGCCTACTGCACCAACGAGGCTTTGGAAATATACACTTTTGTCACTGACATGTTGTCACAGCAGCAAGAGGGCAATAGCAGACACAAAACAACAAAACAAAACAATCCTGATTGAATGGTGGTGTATTGGTATGATGGTTTTGTAAGACTACGAGATTTTTTGGCATCAATTGTATGGTTTTTATTTTTTTTACATATCTACTGCATTGTGTGGTCATCGGACTTTAAAACTCATGCCCCGTGTGAGGCTTAAACTCACGACCTTCAGATTATGAGATTGACGCGCTGCCTACTGCGCCAACGAGGCTCAAAAAAACGACATTTTAATGATCTACAGAATTTGTCACAATTGCAACTGTGGAGACACTTGATTTCGTGAAACGTCTACCTACTCTGCAAACAAGGCATTAGGAGCTCTACGTCCATAAAAGATGAACAACAATTATTCAACTTGACAGTTCATTCACGACCTCGAACACAACAACTGACAAAACGGCCTACTGCACCAACGAGGCTTGGGAAATATACACTTTTGTCACTGACATGTTGTCACAGCAGCAAGAGGGCAATAGCAGACACAAAACAACAAAACAAAACAATCCTGATTGAATGGTGGTGTATTGGTATGATGGTTTTGTAAGACTACGAGATTTTTTGGCATCAATTGTATGGTTTTTATTTTTTTTACATATCTACTGCATTGTGTGGTCATCGGACTTTAAAACTCTTGCCCTGTGTGAGGCTCGTTATTTTTAGGATCGAGAGAATTTGTCACAGTTGCAACTGTGGAGACACTCGATTTTGTGAAACGTCTACCTACTCTGCAAACAAGGCTGTGCGATGACATCAACCCCAGTTGTCGCAGTTGCAACTGTGGAGCATCTCGATTTTGTGATACGTCTGCCTACTCTGCAAACAAGGCAGTATGACGAGAACAACCCCAGTTGTCGCAGTAGCAACTGTGGAGCATCTCGATTTCGTGATACGTCTGCCTACTCTGCAAACAAGGCAGTGCGGCGACATCAAACCCAGTTGTCACAGTTGCAACTGTGGAGCAATTTGATTTCGTAATACGTCTGCCCTGCAAACAAGGCAGTGGCATCAACCCCAGTTGTCCAGTTGAAACTTTGGAGCAATTTTTCGTACGTCTGCCTACTCTGCAAACAAGGCATAAAAGGTGAACAAGAATCATTCCACTTGAAAGTTCATCCCTGACCTCGAACACAACAACTGACAAAAGGGCTGACAGAGCCAACGAGGCTTGGGAAACAAGTTTTTTGAGACTACGGGATTTTGTGGCATCAATTGTATGGTTTTCCTTTTTTTACATATCTACTGCATTTATGTGGTCATCGGACTTTAAAACTCATGCCCCGTGTGAGGCTCGGACTCACGACCTTCAGATTATGAGACTGACGCGCTGCCTACTGCGCCAACGAGGCTCGAAAAAACAATATTTTTATGATGGACAGAATTTGTCACAGTTGCAACTGTGGAGACACTTGATTTCGTGAAACGTCTACCTACTCTGCAAACAAGGCATTAGGAGCTCTACGTCCACAAAAGGTGAACAACAATCATTCAACTTGACAGTTCATTCGCGACCTCGGACACAACAACTAACAAAACGGCGTACTGTGCCAACGAAACTCAAAAAACTGTTATTTTTATGATCGAGAGAAGTTGTCACAGTTGCAACTGTGGAGCATCTCGATTTCGTGATACGTTTGCCTACTTTGCAAACAAGGCAGTATGACGACAACAACCCCAGTTGTCGCAGTTGCAACTGTGGAGCATCTCGATTTCGTGATACGTCTGCCTACTCTGCAAACAAGGCAGTAGGAGCTCTACGTCCATAAAAGGTGACCAACAATCATTGAACTTGACAGTTCATTCGCGACCTCGGACACAACAACTAACAAAACGGCGTACTGTGCCAACGAAACTCAAAAAACTGTTATTTTTATGATCGAGAGAAGTTGTCACAGTTGCAACTGTGGAGCATCTCGATTTCGTGATACGTTTGCCTACTTTGCAAACAAGGCAGTATGACGACAACAACCCCAGTTGTCGCAGTTGCAACTGTGGAGCATCTCGATTTCGTGATACGTCGCCTACTCTGCAAACAAGGCAGTATGACGAGAACAACCCCAGTTGTCGCAGTTGCAACTGTGGAGCATCTCGATTTCGTGATACGTCTGCCTACTCTGCAAACAAGGCAGTGCGACGACATCAAACCCAGTTGTCACAGTTGCAACTGTGGAGCATCTCGATTTCGTGATACGTCTGCCTACTCTGCAAACAAGGCATTAGGAGCTCTACGTCCATAAAAGATGAACAACAATCACTGAACTTGACAGTTCATTCGCGACCTCGGACACAACAACTGACAAAATGGCCTACTGCACCAACGAGGCTTTGGAAATATACACTTTTGTCACTGACATGTTGTCACAGCAGCAAGAGGGCCATAGCAGACGCAAAACAACAAAACAAAAAAATCCTGATTGAATGGTGGTGTATTGGTATGATGGTTTTGTAAGACTACGAGATTTTTTGGCATCAATTGTATGGTTTTTATTTTTTTTACATATCTACTGCATTGTGTGGTCATCGGACTTTAAAACTCATGCCCCGTGTGAGGCTCGAACTCACGACCTTCAGATTATGAGACTGACGCGCTGCCTACTGCGCCAACGAGGTGAATTTTTTTATAATAGAGAAAATTTTTCACACTTTGGGGTTACTGAACAGGCATTAACCAAAAAGAGAAAAAAAACACTAAATTAAATTTCCCCACCCAAAAAAAAAAAAAAAATAAAAAAAAAAACTGACATTTTTATGATCTACAGAATTTGTCACAATTGCAACTGTGGAGACACTCGATTTCGTGATACGTTTGCCTACTTTGCAAACAAGGCAGTATGACGACAACAACCCCAGTTGTCGCAGTTGCAACTGTGGAGCATCTCGATTTCGTGATACGTCTGCCTACTCTGCAAACAAGGCAGTGCGACGACATCAAACCCAGTTGTCACAGTTGCAACTGTGGAGCAATTTGATTTCGTAATACGTCTGCCTACTCTGCAAACAAGGCAGTAGGAGCTCTACGTCCATAAAAGGTGAAGAACAATCATTCCACTTGAAAGTTCATCACTGACCTCGAACACAACAACTGACAAAACGGCCGACAGCACCAACGAGGCTTGTGAAACAAGTTTTTTAAGACTACGGGATTTTTTGACATCAATTGTATGGTTTTTATTTTTTTTACATATCTACTGCATTTTGTGGTCATCGGACTTTAAAACTCATGCCCTGTGTGAGGGTCGGACTCACGACCTTCAGATTATGAGACTGACGCGCTGCCTACTGCGCCAACGAGGCTCGAAAAAACAATATTTTTATGATGGACAGAATTTGTCACAGTTGCAACTGTGGAGACACTTGATTTCGTGAAACGTCTACCTACTCTGCAAACAAGGCATAAGGAGCTCTACGTCCACAAAAGGTGAACAACAATCATTCAACTTGACAGTTCATTCGCGACCTCGGACACAACAACTGACAAAACGGCGTGCTGTGCCAACGAAACTCAAAAAACTGTTATTTTTATGATCGAGAGAAGTTGTCACAGTTGCAACTGTGGAGCATCTCGATTTCGTGATACGTTTGCCTACTTTGCAAACAAGGCAGTATGACGACAACAACCCCAGTTGTCGCAGTTGCAACTGTGGAGCATCTCGATTTCGTGATACGTCTGCCTACTCTGCAAACAAGGCAGTAGGAGCTCTACGTCCATAAAAGGTGACCAACAATCATTGAACTTGACAGTTCATTCGCGACCTCGGACACAACAACTAACAAAACGGCGTACTGTGCCAACGAAACTCAAGAAACTGTTATTTTTATGATCGAGAGAAGTTGTCACAGTTGCAACTGTGGAGCATCTCGATTTCGTGATACGTTTGCCTACTTTGCAAACAAGGCAGTATGACGACAACAACCCCAGTTGTCGCAGTTGCAACTGTGGAGCATCTCGATTTCGTGATACGTCTGCCTACTCTGCAAACAAGGCAGTATGACGAGAACAACCCCAGTTGTCGCAGTAGCAACTGTGGAGCATCTCGATTTCGTGATACGTCTGCCTACTCTGCAAACAAGGCAGTGCGACGACATCAAACCCAGTTGTCACAGTTGCAACTGTGGAGCAATTTGATTTCGTAATACGTCTGCCTACTCTGCAAACAAGGCAGTAGGAGCTCTACGTCCACAAAAGGTGAACAACAATTATTCAACTTGACAGTTCATTCACGACCTCGAACACAACAACTGACAAAATGGCCTACTGCACCAACGAGGCTTGGGAAATATACACTTTTGTCACTGACATGTTGTCACAGCAGCAAGAGGGCCATAGCAGACGCAAAACAACGAAACAAAACAATCCTGATTGAATGGTGGTGTATTGGTATGATGGTTTTGTAAGACTACGAGATTTTTTGGCATCAATTGTATGGTTTTTATTTTTTTTACATATCTACTGCATTGTGTGGTCATCGGACTTTAAAACTCATGCCCCGTGTGAGGCTCGAACTCACGACCTTTCAGATTATGAGACTGACGCGCTGCCTACTGCGCCAACGAGGCTCGAAAAAATGTCATTTTTATGATCTACAGAATTTGTCACAATTGCAACTGTGGAGACACTCGATAAAGATGATCTGAACTTGACAGTCATTGCCTACTTTGGCAACAACAAGGCAGTACTGTGAACGAAATCAACAACCCCAGTTGTCGCAGTTGCAACTGTGGAGCATCTCGATTTCGTGATACGTTTGCCTACTCTGCAAACAAGGCAGTGCGACGACATCAAACCCAGTTGTCACAGTTGCAACTGTGGAGCAATCTTGATTTCGTAATACGTCTGCCTACTCTGCAAACAAGGCAGTAGGAGCTCTACCGTCCATAAAAGGTGAAGAACAATCATTCCACTTGAAAGTTCATCACTGACCTCGAACACAACAACTGACAAAACGGCGCGACAGCACCAACGAGGCTTGTGAAACAAGTTTTTAAGACTAGGGATTTTGACATCAATTGTATGGTTTTCCTGTTTTTTACATATCTACTGCATTAGGCGGTCATCGGACTTTAAAACTCATGCCCCGTGTGAGGCTCGAACTCACGACCTTCAGATTATGAGACTGACGCGCTGCCTACTGCGCCAACGAGGCTCGAAAAACTGTTATTTTTATGATCGAAAGAATTTCTCACACTGTGGAGCGATCTCGATTCCGTGATACGTCTGCCTACTCTGCAAACAAGGCAGTAGGAGCTCTACGTCCACAAAAGGTGAACAACAATTATTCAACTTGACAGTTCATTCACGACCTCGAACACAACAACTGACAAAATGGCCTACTGCACCAACGAGGCTTTGGAAATATACACTTTTGTCACTGACATGTTGTCACAGCAGCAAGAGGGCCATAGCAGACGCAAAACAACAAAACAAAACAATCCTGATTGAATGGTGGTGTATTGGTATGATGGTTTTGTAAGACTACGAGATTTTTTGGCATCAATTGTATGGTTTTTATTTTTTTTAAATATCTACTGCATTGTGTGGTCATCGGACTTTAAAACTCATGCCCCGTGTGAGGCTCAAACTCACGACCTTCAGATTATGAGACTGACGCGCTGCCTACTGCGCCAACGAGGCTCAAAAAAACTGTTATATTTATGATCAAGAGAATTTGTCACAGTTGCAACTGTGGAGACACTCGATTTCGTGAAACGTCTACCTACTCTGCAAACAAGGCTGTGCGACGACATCAACCCCAGTTGTCACAGTTGCAACTGTGGAGCAACTCGATTTCGTGATACGTCTGCCTACTCCGCAAACAAGGCAGTAGGATCACAGTTTTCATGAGTGGAACTGCTCAGTTGACATGAAACTGAAGATGTTAAGACTTTCCATTATCCCAAATTCCTCCGTGTTGACAACAGTGCTGTGGACAGAGGTATTCTATTTTAGTGGCTGCCCATCAATTTGTCCCATTCTCGTCAATGAGATATGTCAGAATCGCTTTGAGGGAATTTTTTCAAATTATTAAAGGATGAACTGATTAGATTATGGTGGTAAAAGGTAAAATGTTTGGCTATAACTCAAGTATTCAAACGCTGATCATGACAAAATTACACACAAATGTCTAATAGGTATATATAGTTGAATGAAACACAATACTAACAATATAGCAAAAATAATAACAAGAAATAATAATACAGTGCATGTGGTAGTAGTCAGTTTACTTAGTGGGGAATGTGTGTGCATGGACGAGCGTGAGGTATGGTGTCAGATTTAAGCAGGATGGTGTACAACAAAGATGAATACAAAGATGAGTAGGAGAGATGCTGGACTGAGAGCGTTAATAGAGGCCTTGTCACATGTTAAAAATTTGAGCAATAACCATTCAGCTTATCCTTGAGCTCAGAAACAACTGACAAAACGTCCACTTGTACATTTTCAAAACCTCTCGTCCATGTTGGCTTAAGAGCTGAACACTGACAAAAGGAGGGGAGCCCAGGTCAAGGGAAACACCAGAGTAGAACTACAACAAAGAAAAACTACAGAGCATGTGGTAGTCAGAGGTGAATGTGTGTGCATGGGTAAGTGTGAGGTATGGTGACAGTTACGCTGGATGGTGTAAAACAAAGATTAAAATTTAACAATATATTATAACAATGGTGATTTAAGAGCTGTAAGCTAAATATTCAAATAAAACTAATTTGGCTAAAGTCTAATAACCAATATTACTGGTTACCTGATGTCATAAAAAACTCATACAGGTTTACTTTACTGTCAAAAACCATTGGAACAGCACAATTTAAATTATATTTTTGGGGTGGTTTTTCTCATTAAAATAGGTAATGTTTGGCCTTAATTGATAATATATTCATATGACATTGATGCTGATGTCCAAAGCACATAGATTTCCCCAAGGTTAACACACCCAGTAAGGCTTTTTTTTAATTTGTATTTGGTAAAATGTGTGACAAACACAATAATAACTAATAACTTAGTTCAGAGATGTTCAGACATAGGCCAAACATTAAGACAACCCAGAATTCACTAGAAATGAAAAGCTTCATAATGGTCAGTTGTTGTGTTGTAAATGTTTCACATGATTTTATTTTGTAAAATGTCTTAATCTAATCAGAGTAGCAACTTTTAAGAATTTTGTTTGTTGTTGGGTTTTTTTTTAAACTCGCAAGCTAAATTGTCTGGAAAATTACTTTTAGCATTAGTGATTAAATGGATGGTGAGAAGCTCAGAAATGGCCAATATCTCACACACACAAACACAAACAAATAATGCTGAGACATATTGATGGACAGATGAATGTACATTGCTCTTGTTCACACAAACAAAACAACCCTACACAGCTAACATAGGCAGAACCTATAAACCTAAAAAACTTCAGAAGTCAATTAGCGTGTTTTGTCACACAGCACACACAACTGAAAATTAGTTTTATACACATACATTAACACCTGCATATTAGTTTCACCTGACACCAATTAACAGCGTCCCAGATAGTGCAGTTAGAAGCCAACACACCATTAGGATTATCTGGACTGAATGAATGGGCTCATTAAGCACAATAAACTAACCACTCTCTAACAACATCATAACTCTGTGTGTGTGTGTGTGTGTGTGTGTGTGTTGTGTGTGTGTGTGTGTGTGTGTGTGTGTGTGTGTGTGTGCGTGTGTGAGCAAGTGCATGCTCGAATGTGTGTTTTTGTCAGTTTAGGAGAGAGAAAGAGACAATGAGAGCAGTGTGTGTGTGTGTGTGTGTGTGTGTGTTGTGTATGTGGCATTTACTCAAGGACAGTGGCATTGTCAGAGTTATGAAAGACATATAAAGAGAACGGATGGAGAGGACTATCATGGAAAAAAATCACTCCATTGATGACTGAAGTATTGCTCAGAAATCCAGAATGAAAGCCTTGTCTGAGAATATTTTGCTTGAGTGGAGTGTGAAGGCAGAAGGTGCTTATGAAAAACAAAGCATCTTTCCATACCAAAAGGGATAAAGGAGGATCTAGTCTTTCATGATGTTTACACTTCATTATTCAGAGCAATCACACTCAATCTCAGAAGGGCAAAGATTTACTGAACCTTTATCAGAACAAACACAAATCATGTTGTTCACATTTTTCAAAAGCTCGTCATACTTGAATACAGCTTCAGTTTATCATTTAGCCGATGTATTTGTTGTTGTTTATTACCTTCAACATCTGCATTATACTTCTAAGGTGTGCATAAGAAGTGATATGTGGCATCAAAGTGACACTTGTCTTAGTCTGACCAAATGAGAGCAAACAAGGAAAGAAGAGAAACCTTATGAAATATCACAAAAGATGAGACCCATTTCCAAAGCAGCCAGGTGCCTAGAGGGCAGCATGAATATGTTTTGAATGTGATTTGTTTTTGTTGTTTTCTAGTTGGTAACTGTGAATAATGAATGTGTGTAATGTGTATTCTAGTCTGCCACAGTAGAATGGTACTGAGCTCAACTCCAGCCTGTTTAGGCAACATCGATTGAACTAATAAAAATATGATGATATGAATGATAACATGAAAGAACTTACCCAGGGCCTGGGTGGCAAATGCTGCCATGGCACTCTGCAGTCGGTCTGGTCTGACTGCCTGAACCAGTAACAGCTGGGGAGAGCAAACAGAAAAGGATAAACTGAGCAAGAAACAAAACAACAGGTATTAAAACTTGATAGACAGAAGGCATTCCAAAAAAACTGCCTAATTTGGATACATACCAACTGTCAAATTCACAGAGGCTTTAAGATGTTTTTTTTTTTTTTTTTTTTGAGAACACAAAACACAAAGTAAATGAGTAAGTCCTTTGGTTTGATAGTCAAGTGTGCATACTTGACTTTAGTGTTGAGTGGCTTCTGGCTTGGTCATGCTTTGAAATGAGATCAGCTAAATCTTCATTCAATCTCAAACCACACGGAAGGAGGGTGTGTGTGTGTGTGTGTGTTTGTGTGTGTGTGTGTGTGTGTGTGTGTGTGTGTGTGTAGACTTTTGATATACTCTGTAAATAATGATAAGTTGTGCCATCTGGCTGATGAAATGACTGGTTTTTGATTGAAAGCTGACCTGCTGGAAGGGAGTAATCTTCTTGGCAATGGAGGATGGGATTTCCTGTTCACACTGTGAGCTCTGTGAGAAGGACAGCCAAAGGTCTGAGTCACTCAAACACAAGGACTGGTAGATGGCTGGGAATGTAGCCTGTAAATGAAGGATGACAAAAGTTAAAAGGGTGAAAAACAGGTCAGAAAATAACATTACAACTTCTTTATTATTAAAAACTTTTATTTTTTTATGTCGACTGTGAAAATGATTGTGTACATAATTAAAGTGTAACCCTTCAGTTCTGCTAGTTCCCTCCCTCTCAGCAAATTTTAAAAAATGCATCAAAGACCTGCAAAGGACTGTGACCTTTAGGGGGCGTGGCCTCGACACCAACCAGAGTGACTGACAGAGAAACACCGAGGTAGTAGTCAGAGCTAATGAGCATCTGCTGTCAGGCTCTCCATGTCCACGCTGGAAACACAGAGAGTCT